GTGTGAGGCATTAAGCTAGAGCAGTAAGCATGACAGACAAGAGACTGCTCTCAGGGGCTGAGATCCTAGTGGGAGAAGAGAGATCATAGACACACTGATTCCTCAACTCCATCATTTCAAATAGGAGTTCTCACTGCTATGAAATTATTTGAACTAAAACAGGTGCCCTGATGCTGACTAGGTGATGCTCCTGATGAGGGAACCAACGACCCTCATTTGGGGATACAAATTCCAGGCCAAGGGACTGATGGTACAACAAAGCTCTAGGGCAAGGAGGAGTTTGTGCTCAAGGTTGGAAGTGCTGTGAGCTGGAAGCCTTGTAAGCAAAGGTAAGGTGTTAAGTAAGAGACAGGGCTGGGGGTTAAATGGATGCCTGAACATGTTGGACCTTATGGGCCAAAGAAGGCATCCAGATTTTTATTGTGTCCTGAGAAACTCTTAGAATTTGAAAGCACTCAGGCTGCTGTGTGGAAAATGGTATTTGTGGGATTAAAGATAAAAACAAGCAGAAGAAAGAATGGAAAGGTTATTGCAATAATCCTGGTGAAATTATTGTAAGTCCTCTGGGAGGAGAAAGTCCAAAGAATTTCTTTATGAACTGGGTTTCATGGGTGAAGAGACATGTAGCTGACATTTATTGAGCACTTTACATGTGTTTAAGAGATTGTGCCAAACTCTTTCCAAAGGCTAGCTCACTTCGTCCTGTCAACATCCACAGTATCTAGACACAACTATTCTGTCTTCTAGTTGACTAAGGATGAGCAAGGTGTGGAGCTGAGGTTAAAGCCAGACAATGTGTCTCCAGGTTGTATGCCTACCCACACCTTACAAGCGCTGCTGAAATTCTTGGATGAATGATGCAGAATAATAGGACAGGATGAGGTTTCAGAGGCTGGGACATGACAATGTTTAAATCCCCTTAAGCATTCCATCGGAGGGTCAAATGCGTTGTTGTACATGTGAGTCTGGAAATCAGAACAACTTGGGGACTGAACACAGAAATTTTGGAGAGTTTGAAAATAGAAATTTTACTATTGTTGGCATGCAGTGAAATTGGAATTTTCCCAAGGAGAAAGAAGAAAGAAGCATTCCAAACTTCAGAGAGAAAGAAGACAGCCGAAGATTCTAAATGGTGAGGTAGAAACCCAGGGGAGTAGAATCACAGAAGTCAAGAAAATAGTGTTTCAGGAAGGAGGACGAGGACAACCTACTGTGATGTTACTGAGATGAGAACACATGGAACATTTAGATGTAGTAAATGGAACTCACTGCGAATTCAGGGTACAGGTACTAAAGGGCAACCCAGACATGGGACATTTCAGGGCTCAGGATTGTTGCCTCTTCCCTGGGTCCCAAGAGTTCCCACGTTGTCACCCTTTCTCTTGGGCCATCATGTCTGATTGGAGCTAGCATCTGCCCAGCTGGATCTAGCAGATGTACTATCCGAGAAACCAGGGAAAGGGACAGAAGAGAAAGGCCTGAGGACCCAGCGATTTCTTCAGAGTGGTCAGGGAACTCCTCTTTCAAGAGACTTTTTTTTTCTCTTAAATTATCTGCAATTGAGTTTTTATGGTTGCATCCACGAAACTTTCATTCGTATACTGGCAACTTCTTATGAATATATGTAACTCATATTGTTGAACACATACTGTGATCATATTATTTACCCTGAGTGGTCTCACTCAATCCTCACAGAAATAAGAAGCTTCTCCCGCATTACAGAAGATAGAAGCAGTTAGTAGTGATTTGCCACAGACCACAAAAATAAAAAATGGCAGTTTGGGACTTCACGACTATGTCTTCATGGTTTAAAAGTCCCTGTCTTTTTATCTGGGCCTCTCTAATTTCATGAGGAATAACGATAATACAGCAATAATAATGAAAGAGAAAACAAACCCTTTACCATGTGCCATGTACTGGACAAAATGCTTAGTACCAAATATTTTATTTTATTCACCCCAAACCTAAGGTAGATATTACCGTTATCCCCATTTTACAGATGGGAAAACAGAGACACAGAGAGGTTAAGTGACCTGAACAAAGACAAACACAAAGACTAAGCATCCCTCTGTACAAGGTTTCCAGTTTCTTTTTTTATCTCTTAGGGGCTATTGGGAACTTGTAAACGTAATCTATGATTTGCTCAATGACATAGACTATTACATACTTAGAACTTGTTAGTATATTTACCAAGACTGGTGATGGAAGACAGGTTCATTGGGCCTTAAGAAAAATTCATGGACTTCTTCCTGAATCAGGCTGAAAATAAACCCCTCACTGTTTTTATTTACTCCTAAATCATGTGAGATTGAGTCAGATGGACTTTCAGACCTCTGAGAATCAAAGTTTCTCAAATTGGGCTATCTATCATGCATTCTGACTTTCAAAGTGTTAAGACTTCATCTACCTTCTCCTGAATATATAGGTCTACTGCCCACAGTGAATAAACAGTGACAAATTATTCTTGTTCAATGTGTTCTTTCTGTAATATGTCTGTCCTTTACTCTCTTACATTTTGAATATCTATATCTCAGATCCTGAAATCCAGACTCCAGGTTATTGACAGGAATCCATGAAGCCCTGGGAGTTCCTGGAATGAGCCTCAGAGGGAACATGAGCCTCATCAAATGTCTATGTCCACAGGCATATTTTCTAACACATCCTCAAAGGAGTTTGTGATCCACTTATTGTTAAGATCAACTCTACCAAAGGGAGACAATACCTTGAAATATCCAGATTACAACTGCATAAGACATATGGACCGTCCGCGCATGTGTTTCTAACATGTCATGAGCCCCGACCCTGTGTTCTGTCCAGAATGGAACACAGCAGGGCAGATACCAAGACCAGAGGCCCATTTGGAATCATCTTTCCTTAAAAGCAGTTCAGGTCAACAAAGGGATTGTCCACACTGCTACATAAATTGAGGGGGGAAAAAACTCATTTGGTTTGTAAAATTAAGTTGCTATAACAGAGATTCAACAATAAATTAGCCTAAAGACAGTTATTCGTGTCATACAGGACAGATCCACTGTAATTAATCCAGCTCTGAGGGGGGCAACTCTGCTCCTCCTGATCAGTCCAGGACTCTGTCCTCCAAGTCATTGTTCTGCTGTCCCATAGGACCTGATGTCCCTGCTAGGTCAAACAAGATCACCTTATCTGGTAGGAAGAGGAAAGGTCTTAAAGCCCAGACCTGGGAGTGACTTCTGCTGACTTCCAAGAGATCTTAGCTACATTCTTATGTCTGCTGCCAGACAAAGCCAGGACATGTTGCCTAAGACTAGAGACCCATCAATTTAGCTATGCCTTTACGTTCCAGTGAACAAATTTTATTGGAAGATGGCCAGTCTACAGCGAAATAACCCCCCCAGATTCTTCACAAAATCAAACCCATTGTGATCACATGGAAGTATACACTGGCAAAGTTGACGGTCTGAGATGATAAATTGACAGAACGAGCAACCCACTTGAGAACTTAGCATTTTCTCCCGACCCGTAGAGGTGGAATTTGAAAGACCAGTCACGCACTCCCAGGAATGTGGCATAGTCAGCAGTATTCTCACCTGTTAACTGAACATTACATGGCCTTGTATTCAGTACAAGATTATTCGCCATTTCGAGCCAACACATACACTGGAGAAAACTAAATCTGCATGTGGACGACAGGTCCTTCCGGTTTCAGGCGGGAAACAGCTGTGTAAGAGGACCCCTTAAGACGCAAAAACCACATGGATCCACATGAACCTTTAGTACAAATTACTGATCTTCGAAAAACGAAAAATGCAGAAACAGTAGCAAGCCGTATCCCAAGAACTACAAAAACGTCTGCCAACAAGTATTACAAACTACTGAATGCTAGGAGGTTAAACAACTCTTTTGGAAGACGAGATGGGTGGCCCTGAAAAGGGCCTTTGGTTGAGAATCGCGGTGTTCCGGTGGGGAGATGGGAACGCTCAGCCCCCGAAGCCGTAGAGGGTGCGGCCCTGGCGCTTGAGCGCGTAGACCACGTCCATGGCCGTGACCGTCTTGCGCTTGGCGTGCTCCGTGTAGGTGACGGCGTCCCGGATCACGTTCTCCAGGAACACCTTGAGCACCCCGCGGGTCTCCTCGTAGATGAGGCCGGAGATGCGCTTGACGCCGCCGCGCCGGGCCAGCCGCCGGATGGCGGGCTTGGTGATGCCCTGGATGTTGTCGCGCAGCACCTTGCGGTGGCGCTTGGCGCCGCCCTTGCCCAGGCCCTTCCCGCCCTTGCCGCGGCCAGACATGGCGAACTACAGTCTCCGAAACCGGCCAGACACTGCGGGCCGCGGCGCCACTCAGCCCTTTTGTAGCAACGAGACGGACCTGTTTGAAAACCGCGAGCAAAGGGGCGGTAACCACCCCCAGTTCCCGCCCATTGCCTCGTCCTCCTTTGCTCGGCGCTCTGCGCACCCGGCAGGCGGGGCGCCCGAAGCAATAGTCCGTCCCGGGGCGGGGCGGGGAGTCATCCCCCAAATCCTCCCGTAGAGTCGTCCGTGCAGCGTGTGCTTGCAACCCCCGCAGCCACTACGCGGGGCACCCACGCGCACGCTTTCCAAAAAGAAGCCTCCCGCTGTCCTTCCCATCTCCCGGACAACCCCAGAAGTCTCTAGTTACTACTCGCCGTTGTCCCTAGGAGACGCTGGAAATAAACTCTGAAGCTAATCATAGCTCTGTTGCTAAGTTTCCCTGTGTCTTACCGAGAGATCGATGTCTGGTTCCCTAAGGAAGGCTCGCGGGGATGCAGCCCTAAGGGGGGGACTCAGTATAACGTTCAGCGTTTCAAAGCCAAAGCAGGTCCAACCCCACTGAAGGCTGCGCTGAACGTTGGTAAATGCGTGGGTCCCAAAGTGATGAGAACCGTGCTCTGCTGTGAGTCTCACGTTGGTGCTTTGAGCGTGTGCTTAGTTACGCACAGCTCAGGGCCCGCGCGGTTTCCGCCGCCGCGTTCTATGCCGCAGCCGTCCGCAGAGCCTAGAGCCAAGCTCTGGGGACAGCCAGCGGCCTGGCCGGCCCTATGACCTTGGGCAGTCTGGACTCGGGTTTTTCTTTTCAAATGTACAAGAAAGCCTAAGTTACAGAGCACTGGAGTTTAAAAGGGATAATCCATGTAAAGTCTTTACTCTCTGCAAATAAACACTCGCTCAACATTATGCTCTCAGCTCCTCCCCTCAGTAGTCACCCCTCTAAACTGCTGAGCCTAACAGAGCATCCTAGTTTGCACAACTTTCTTTCGAGAACTCCTTGAAATAATAAACACTCCTCATTGAGGAGTTCCAGTTGAATTGCCGAGATCTGGCCTCTCCTCCAGGGTCTCGTGAGGAGGACCTAGTTCATCAAAGCTGTTTTCTGAGTTTATGGTGCATGGGGCCAAATTCCTGACTGGGGTTCTTCCCTTGGAAACCGTGACGGGATGCAGGGCATCTAGGAACTTGTAGAGAACAAAAATTCCATCTCTACTATCCCGCAACTGAACCTTAGCATTTCCTGCATTTATGACTACAGGCAGCAACCAGGGTGATGGGCGGGCCCTGGGCTTGTGCATAACCCCAGGCGGCTTAGGCTCTCAGTGTTTCCAATACCATTTAGACACGTCATTCCTACTACACTGTGGTAATTCTTGCTCACTAGGGCAACCTTTGACTTTAATGGATTAATAAAGAAACACATCTGTTAACACATCAACGGTTTGGGGTTTTGATAAATTTGATAATGGTTTTGTAATATAATTCTTTTCCTGTGTGACCCCATGTATATTATCTTAAACACTTAAAAGCATTGTTCTGGGAAGGGGCCCACAAACCTCATCGGATATGCAAAGAAGTCCATGCCCTGAACTGATCAAGAACCCTTCTTTGAGATCTTCAGAGCCTTGAAAAACTTTGGGTTTTGAAAATGTGCAGAGAGGAACTTTGGGAAATGCCATGAATATTGGAATAAAAACTATATGTTAATAACAATAGTCTAGTGGGGGTGTGTAAGGGTAAATGGCAATGATTATCTTCACTTATCAACAGCAAAGAGATTGTACCAAGATGTAGCCTGCTGTATGAAGGTGCAAAGGGAAATATCAAGCAAGCACCCAGAAATACAAGTTTGACAGTTAAGCAGGAGGACAGACCTGAAGGGAGACGCTTGGAAGTTCACCACATCAAGGTAACTCATGAGCCCATGAAGGTGATTGGGGCAGTACCTTGGAGACTCCCTGCGTTGACGCGGCCTAGAGACAGCTCTTCTTTCTTGGTACTGCATCTCTTTTATCTCCCCCATCATGGTTGTAATTCTGGCTCTTCTCTTTCTTGTATGGACTGACTACTGTCCCAGCCTTCCGTGGCTCAGCCTCTCTGTAATTCATACTCCTCATCGCTATCAATGAATAATCTTCAAGTGAGCTTCAGAACCAACTAGACTGAATCAAAACCACTTTAGGATTAGGAATGCATAAACTCCATAACAAGTGAACACACAAAGTAAGAATGATTTATACTGAGCTGATTGCTCATCTCATCTCTCCCATTTGAATCATGTTAATATGTAGCCTATAGTGACACTAATTTTCATGTTTCACTTGGATGTGCTGAAGGAAGTAATCAGTCATTTCTTGATTTTGAGGGGATCAGAATCACCTCTTGGGCTTTGCTCTGTGTATTCCCAGCGTTTCTTTCTTTCACCATCTGAGGGCAACACAGATTACTACATGTTTCAAAATTAAGATACTATGTTAAAGACAAAGAGTGGCTTTAAGGAGTGAAGAAAATCACATTAAATCACTTTCTGCAGTCAATCTATTTCCTATTCAACATTAAGCATAGGTTGTAATGTGTTTCCATTAATAAAAATTGTAGTAGTGAATATAAAACATACTTTTTATAAAATGTCCTTCTTTCAAGGAAATTCCATAAGTGTGTGAATGTCTGTGTCTGTGTGTGTCTTACGCATGTGTATAATCTTTGATTCTGTTACTTTAATACATTCCATATTTCTCTTCCTCAAGCATGGCAGAAATCTGTACCCACACTTGTAAACATTTTAGTAACTGATCCCCCCCAAATAAAATTAATGTAAATAAGATGATATTTTCAAACAATAAAGGGACCCAACTCTTTTTTATGCCTCTTCTAAATCCCCTGTCCTCACCTATGGCAAACATAAGCCCAACAACCATGTCAGGAGGATCATACATTGCTGCATTCCCCATTTTCCTAGACAAATCTTGAATGCTTGAAACCGCCAAACTAACTAACCCTGCAAAGTGTCACTAAAAGCTATGATAAAGGTTTTTCAGACAAAATAATGACTGTTCTTGTCAGAACTAGCTGTTATTCCAAGCTTCCTTTACTATCGTTCTTGTAGAGAAATGGAGAAAGAGCCTGTGTTATTTCTCTTCATATGAAACAGATTTTCTGGGTAAATCTCCATGAGAACTAAGCAGTTGTTGAATGTATGAGAAGCCAAGAATGTGTAGAATATCACTAGAGAGCAAGCGACGGAAAGCACAAAGGGAAGAATTTATATTTTAAACGAAAATCAAGAAGTTGCCTCTCTGACCTGCGAATCTCTCAGAGTGTCGGGGGCTTTTGAAAAAAGCTGCGACTAACGTGATAAAAACTGGAAGAAGAAAACATGAAGATCTCAAAGCCTGAGGTGTCCCGCTTCGCTATAGCATATAATCGGTGTGATTCCTCCACAGGAAATTTTATTTCTTTTGCTTTCCTCAGTTGTAACAAACACAATTCCGGGACAGAGCGGAGACTAGGTTGCTGTCAAGCTGGAGGACTGAGCTGGGAACCAATCAGCGCGCAGCGTGCTTGTTGTATATATACACACACGCACGCCAGGGCCAGGCAGCTCAACTCCGAGACTTTATTATCCTTATTCTTTTCTGCTTTCACCGTCAGGAAGCCAAACGCACAATGTCTGAAACCGCACCTGCCGTGCCTCCTGCCCCTTCTCCCGCGGAGAAAACGCAGGTCAAGAAGAAGGCCCGCAAGTCGGCAGGTGCCGCCAAGCGCAAGGCGTCCGGGCCCCCGGTGTCCGAGCTCATCACCAAGGCCGTCGCCGCCTCCAAGGAGCGCAGCGGCGTGTCCCTGGCCGCGCTCAAGAAGGCGCTCGCGGCCGCCGGCTACGACGTGGAGAAGAACAACAGCCGCATCAAGCTGGGCCTCAAGAGCCTGGTGAGCAAGGGCACCCTGGTGCAGACCAAGGGCACCGGCGCCTCGGGCTCCTTCAAGTTCAACAAGAAGGCGGCTTCCGGGGAAGCCAAGCCCAAAGCCAAGAAGGCGGGCGCGGCCAAGCCCAAGAGGGCCTCCGGGGCGGCCAAGAAACCCAAGAAGGCCGCGGGGGCGAGCACCCCCAAGAAGAGCGCCAAGAAGACCCCCAAGAAGGCCAAGAAGCCCGCGGCGGCGGCTGTCGCCAAGAAAGTGGCCAAGAGTCCGAAGAAGGCGAGGGCTGCCAAGCCCAAGAAGGCCGCCAGGAGTCCAGCCAAGGCCAAAGCCCCGAAGCCCAAGGCAGCCAAGCCTAAAGTGGCCAAGCCCAAGAAGGTGGCCGCCAAGAAGAAGTAAGCGAATATGGAATAGTTTAGAATCTTTAAAGGCTCTTTTCAGAGCCACCCCCAGACCTCAGGAAAAGAGCTGTCGCACTCTGCAGTGTAAGGGAGCGTGGCGGGAGAACCAGTCCACGGACCACGGGCGGCACCTACCGGGACTCTAGTTAAGTGCACTCGAGCCTTTGAAAACTTCTCAGTGCGGTTAGAAACTCTGGGATACTATTTTGAGCACTATTTCCTCCTCTACTCTCTTAATTGCGCTGTTTCCACATTAGTTGGCCCACACTCCACACGGTGCAATAAGGGGGAGCATAAGTTGGGGGGCCATAGCTTATTTACAAATGTTACCCAGGCACCATGTGCTTGGGGGACGCTAGTGTGTTATGTCCTATATACCCACCTTAAAGATTTGACACTGAATGGACCACTGGCATTCCTCTTAGATTGTTACAAAAGTACTTTAGCCACCAAGTCTATTGATAGAAAACCAAGAGACTAGGGAATAAAGAAGGCATTTCAAAGGTCACTGTAGTCCACCATATTTCAGAAATCCTGGTTCTTTCCACTAGGTTGGTTAGCTGTAGCAGGAATAATGTGCATCTCATCAAGAACCACTTGCCTACCAGCTGCAGCATCTAGGAAGTCAAAACGAGATGAGAGACCCCTCCCAATGTAGGAAGTTTCACTAGCCAGCAAGAAGCTGTCCACACACAAACCGAAAGTTACAGTCTCTCCACGAAAGTTTCACTTACTCAAGGTTAAAAAAAGATACTTTTGCTTGAAGAGGATTATTTATAACTAGCTTCTGGTAGCCTAGTCTAGACGTTCTGATTGGGTCGAAACAAAGCATCGAAGCAGCCAATGAAAAGCCAGGCCTTCAAGTATCTCACATTCGTATTTGTGACGACACACTAAAATTAATCCAATCGTGAATGATTTTACTAACCTCATTGGAATACCGCATCTATAAATAAACGGGGCCTTGCCAAGGCAGATTATTTCCCCAAGTCTTAGCGTTAGTGTAGTTTTTAATATCGGGATGCCCGAACCCACCAAGTCGGCTCCGGCCCCGAAGAAGGGCTCCAAGAAGGCGGTGACCAAGGCGCAGAAGAAGGACGGCAAGAAGCGCAAGCGCAGCCGCAAGGAGAGCTACTCGGTGTACGTGTACAAGGTGCTGAAGCAGGTGCACCCCGACACGGGCATCTCGTCCAAGGCCATGGGCATCATGAACTCGTTCGTCAACGACATCTT